AAAAGTGTTTTGCACCAAAAAGGAATCGATAATTCCCGAGATTTTCCTCGTCAGCTTTATTTGCTAGCATGCGAGAAGGTATTGAATTCCAATTTACTAAATAGGTCCTTTTATTTTTGTTTTTTCTTTTTTTTTTTGCGGAAAAGTGTTAGAATTACTTGTTTCTTCCTTCTTTTCTTTTTTAGAGAAATAGATATTATACTAAAAAGAAAAGTGAAAAGTAAAGAATAGATATTATGCTTTTAATTTGCGTAATTAAAGTCCGATTATTGTTAGGGCTTTTAATTATTTAATTATGATCAATTAGGCTTTAGTGGTTGGGACGTTGTTATTCGTAAATAATATTAATTAGGGACTTTTCTCTTGTATTCGTCATAATCGTACTGTAGTTATCAATGGCATTATAATGAAGATAAGGATAAGAACATCAAAAGATTTTCATCATTTCAAATCAATTTTCTGTTTTTATTCACTTAGTTAAAAAGAATTTTGCTTGTTACATAAGGATAATATTCCGATTTATTATGTATAAACATACCTTTTTTAGCTAGATAATATTCCGATTTATTATGTATAAACACACCTTTTTTAGCCAATTATTAATATTTTCTGTTCCAAAAGTTTTCGTAAATTTTCATTTTTTAAATTAATTACAAACGGTTTCATTTTAATAATACTACTTTACGCCATTTTTTCCCCTCCTTTCTTTCTAACAATTTGACAAATAAATGAAATGAAACATTCATCGATAAAACTGGGATGAATTCAGCTATGACGCAGAAAATTTTGATAATATCGAGGTCATCATTATGTAAGATTAATGTTCACAATGGGTTAAATTCGATATTTGCTTCTAAATAAATCTTTGGTAGCCATCTGTTCTTTATATCATTCATTCATATCATTCGTTGCGTAACAATTCTTATTTGAAATGATGCAAAATTTTATGAGGTTTCAATGAAACGAAGAAAAAAATTGATTCTTTCAAGTTTTTTTGTATTTTGATCGAAAATTTGTCATTTTATTTTTTTATTTTTTATTTGAAAAAAATTTTTCACTTTTACTTTTTTTTCTTTTTATTTTTTTTTGTTTTTCTTTTTTTTCTTTTTTCTTTGTGATTTTTTCCTAATTTGTTTTTGTAATTATAAAATTCATCTTTCATAGTACAGCTAATATTGCTAATATTGCTAATTATTGATCGTATGCTATTTTCATTTATTCGTTTATTTTCCTATGACAAGTATCAAGATTTTCTGATCGTATCACATTACTGGCATGATTTGACATGACAGGATAGGATGTATCTCGAGTTACAGAACTATTTTCTCTCATTTCATTCTTTTTTGTTCTCAAGTTTGATTTGTTTTTCTCCTCTCTTTTTAATAATTTATAAATATTTTGTTGATATTTTCTAAAATATTTTCATTGTACGTTTGATGAATCAGTTAAAGTTAAAGTTGTTAAAGTTTTGCCGACTTATTCCTGTTTTCTTCACTGTAAAATCCGTCATTACTGAATCATTTTAAATTTAATTCTGCGCATAATTCTAAATTATTCCAGATGGTGTGATGTCGGATGCAACCAGCGATGGAATGGAAGGGAAGCAACAGGTGGAAGAACATGAATTGAGACTAGAAAAGAAAGTGGAAGAAAGATCAACTACATCATTAGACTCAGTGGATTGTTTTCATGGTTTTATTACAGAAGAAGAAGTAGAATATCGATTACGAAAATGTAAAATTGATGGTGCATTGATTTTACATGCTGAACCAAATTCTATCACACCGAAATTTCGTCTTTCTTGGCTTCCAACATCCAATAATTCGGTGGTTCATTACTCGTAAGTTATCATTTCAATTCATTTTCTCCATATCACTTCATTTCATTTAACATTATGATGGGTTTCGAAAGGATATTATCTCCACTTCGGTATTGAAGATGATAGCATCGAAGTTGATCTCATTTTTACTCAACGTTTATGGTTGTCTATCATTAGCAGTAAATGTGCCATTATATCAGTTTCAATTAAAATGAAAAATTGATTAAAAAGTTTCTGATCAATTTCTGATATTTCTATAAAAATTTTCCTGATTTGGACGAAGGAATGTGTTCTTGTTAAAATTTTCATGAATAAATTTAGAATTTCGTCTTTACTCTTCTAATTAAAAGTTTCATTTATTAAGGAAGCTCTCATATTTGATAAATGAGAAATTTCAGCATTGATCGAATTTGTAGTGAATATTTTCTGTTTGGAAAATCCTTCACAACATTATCTGGTCTCATTCAGTCATTTATAGATGAATCAAAAACAGCAGTGCTACCACTTCAACCACCGTCGGTATACCTTGTTGCATATTTATTTGGTATTAATTTTGTATTACTTGAACCGTAGAATGGAAGCGGCAGAGATTATTGAAAGGAAAAGTTTTTCCTATTTAGTTTGTTTTCTATTTTTCTTCTTTTTCTAATTTAGTTTCCTTTTTGTAGCCGGTAAAATTAGTTAATCGTCAGAGGATAGCCGTACTGCCGTTTCGTGCGATGCCAGATACAGACGAAATAAGGTAATGGTAAAATTAATTCTATATTTTTCAATTATTTTCTTGGTTTCTTTCTTTTAATATGTTCTAACCTCACATTTAATTATTCATTTCTTTATCATTTTCATATGCATTGGATTTTTATAGCTTAGGTGAAATTTTTTAATCTTTGACTCTATATAATTTTATGTACTGGGATGTATCTATTAAACTATGTTTTCTCTAGCTTCTCAAAAATCTTTTACTATGTCGTCTGTTTATTATGACTTTGTTTGTTGAACTTGATTATTACGTTCAAGCTGGTATTAAGGCAAGCATATTTGTGAATGTTGAAACCAGGACACTAAATTAATATTCGTTTTATTTAGCTTTTGTGAGGGTGATATGTTAACGGAAATCCAACGAGTGGACAATGAGTGGGCATGGGCGAGACTGGAGAAAAATGGAAAATCCGGACTTGTCGCTGTGCAGCTCACCGTTCCATTAGTTAGTCCTATTCCAATTCACAATAATTATAGTGACAAGGCTGCTTCAAAGCTCTTTATATATATATATATAT